ACCTAATCTTGGGTAACTGAATGGCCTTCCACTTGGCCTAAAACAATCCCAACTCAAGCCCAATGGGCTCCTAATTGAGTTGGCATGGTTACACCCCAAAACCGACTCAATTAGACCCTAAACTAACTCGATCTAGATATGAATGATTACAAGTGTGAATCTTATATTGTCCGACATGTCATTAGTTTCCCTACCGGGCTGGCACCCCTATGGGCCCTACCGCCCCTACAGGTAGTTTCCCTTCCAAGTGTCGCCCCTGACAGTGCAGTGCCTGCCCTTGCGGGCAGCACTACTAGCGGCCTATTACAAGCAGGTCGTCGACCGTCGACAGCCAGCAACCAGCCGCTTGCACGCAGACAGCCAAGGCTGCAAGCAACCTTTAGCCACTTTTGCGTAGGCAGCAAGGGCAGCAACAATTGCTGCACTTTCTCGTCTTTGGTGTCAATGATCTTAATGACAAAAGCTTCTCCAAAACACAACACTCGCAATTCAAATCCAATTTTTGCACAAACAACCTTACTCTGATACCATTGTTGGGAAATCTTAGAGATGACATCACTTGCATCGCGGAAGAACAGAAAACAAAATCCCCAATTTCCAAAGATATATTCGTCATCATAGGAAGATTGGTGCGTAAAAATTCACAAAATAGAAAACCATATGTGAGATAGATTTTATTACCTAGGGAGATCGTATACCCCTGAATCATTGCAGATCTTTAGGAGAGGGTGAAGGAGGTCAAACGCCCTCATCTCTAGTAGTGATCCACACAATAGGGCTATGATAACGCTCCTCAAAACTCCAGGTCTGCTCTAAGGTGGAGAAGAGGAGGAGAATAAGAAGGCAACCAAAAAGGCTCTAGCCTATGAACCACTAGTCCCCTCCTATTTATAGAGGTCCCCTATCGACTTAACTCTAATGGATCCTATCCTATTGGGTATTAGATCTTCATCCAACTACCCAAGCCTCTTAGATTAGTAAATTTCTATCCAATAATCTCTCATTGGCTCTTATTGGATCTTATTCATAAGATCCAATAATTCATGGGCTTATTGGATATCTAATAAGATAGAGGCTCCGACGGATATCTCATATCTGAACCTCTACTCATCACAATACCTACCATATGTGTGTGACCCTCTAGGCCCAATATCGAGCTGGCCATGAGTCATATCTATCAGAACTCCTTCTGGCTCAGTGAATTATTATCTCCATAATAATTCACTCGACTTATCGACTGCAGACGTACTAGGCTACTACGCCATAGTCCCCAGACGATACAAGGGAATCCAATCCATTAGACCTGTTTGTCCTCAATTATCGTGTACCTATAGTCCCTCATCCATCCAATATCCCAAAGACCATATACTAGGCATGGTACTGTTAGACCCATACAGTTTCTACTCGAGTCTCGCTCTAATATGATTCTCCCAGAGAACTCTTTCTCTCTCAATCTGAATGACCCTGGCCAGGGATTTGTCTGAGCAACAACATATGAAACATTCCTCTCATGACACCGAGAGTGGATGATCCTCTATCGACACTCAATAGTCCTCGTAAGGTTGACTACCACTCCCGATGACCGGTTGTGCTAGATCTGGGACATCCACGTTGAATCTCAGATTTTGATGATAAAACCAATTGATATTATTTATGATTTGATCTACATTTTGAGTGACATAGGAAACTTTGATCAGAGAGAGACAATTAAAGTAGGAAGAATCACATTGAGCTAGAGTGTACATGTTAGAAGATTAGACATCGGGCCGGAGGATCAATCGATGTGTCGGTAGAAGACTCGTGCCGTGAATTCAGGCATCGGGGCGAAGGAGCGGACATTGTGCTAAGGAGATCAAAGTTATGGAGGTCAATATGCCGATTGGGCAAAAGGCTACAAAAGAGGACGGTGCACCAAAGGATCGGACGAGTGCCGGATGAACCAATGACATGCTGGACAAAGGATTTATGCTTTGTAATCATATGTCTAAGATCGAAGCAGTTTATGAGGCTAATTGAGTTAGCTTTTGGTGTAATCATGGTAACTCAATTAGGGGCCAATTGGGCCTTAATTGGGACTGATTTAGGCTCATTGGGAGGCCCATTCAGTGACTTAAAAGTTGGGTCATGCGGTGGCACCACCAGAACAAGCGGTGGAACCGCTTGTGAGTTGGAAAACTCGAAAAACCTAGTCTCCGAGGTAGTTAGGCAATGGTACAGCCCAGAATAATCTCCCAGGCGATAGTACCACCAGACTAGGCAGTGGTACCACCCAGTGTCAGGCTGCAGGTGGTGGTACCGCCCAGTGCAGGTGGTGGTACTGCCTAGTGCAGGCGGTGGTACCACCTGTATCCCGAAATCTTGGGGATTTAAATTTTGGGCTCCAAATTTGAATCTATTTGGGCCTATAAATATCCCACTCTTTTTTGCTTATAATGAAAAGAATTGGGTAGAAAGGGGGAAAAAAATTCTTGACCAAAAAGAGTTGAAAAAGCTTGTAAAG